ATATCGTTATCAAAGGCGGAAAAATTATCGAAACTTTGAAGGATACACGTAATCAAATCGAAAATTAGTGGGAGAATGGGAAAAACAATTTTTTTAGTAATTGAAAAAAAACGAAAAAATAAAAAAAAATTTTGCCGTAATGACTGTTTCGCGATTTTTTAGGGTTTTTGTTCAGATTTTTTTTAATTTTAATACGATTCTTTTGAATTTCTTGTGGTCTAAAAATAAAAAAAAAAAAATGATATTTTTTTTTTATTTTTTTTCTTTGAAATTTTTGATTTTTATAATCCCCAAAATTGATATTTTTAGGCCATAATTCATTGCTCTTTCAAATTTTTAGCATCTATTTTTTATATATTTTTTTAAATAGAATTTCTAAAAAAAATCAAAAAAAAAATATTTTTTTGTCACTATTTCAAATTTTCCCCCAAAAAATCTCCTCCCCGCCAACTATAATACCCAAAATCCCGGCCATAACCCTTCCCTCTCATCCTTTTCCCATTAAAAAATATATTCCTGCGAATACATTTATAAGTGCCGTTATAACGCACCCCGCAAAGAGTCTTGATCGGAAATTTTGAGCGGGGAGGGGACGAGAAGAGGGGGGGAAAAGAGGGTTCGACGACGACAGCTCGGAAATCGCGTCGTACGACGGGGCGATTTCGTTGACAGGATGGCGGGGTGAGATAATGCGCTATGTGGACTGTAAATGTTATGTACAAAGAAAAAGGAGGATAGATTTGTAAGAGAGTAAAAGACGATATTTGGCAACCGGAAAAGAGATTACCTTGATTTGAGGAAAGATTGCCTAAGGCAAAAAGCATCATATTTTCGTCAAATGAAGGAATGATCCACGGAGACTTTCTTAGTTTACAGTAACGTACAAAATGCACATTATTTTCCCGACAGTCTTATATTAGTCAGAGACATTTTGCTGCTTCAAGTTCACATTATTTTCAAAAAAAATAAAATTTAAAATACCATGGATTTTAAGACATTGCGCATCAAAGCAATCCGAATGCCTACCAAAGTCATTAACTTTCTATATATTGGTCATAAACCCATGGAGTGAAAAATGATGACTAAGACCTGCATTTTATATCCTGAGCTTTGTGTTGGTCACCTCGGCATAAAACAGAAGTCAGAAAAGTCCGCTCTGCCACGAGAAATAAAAGGTTGTGACTGAGATGGATGAGAGTACCGTAAACGACCATATGGTGAGAAGCGGCACAATGGCTTTTCGTATTTTGTGACCCAAAAAGTCTTGAAAACGTGTCAAAATCAAATCTATGTAGTATCAACCTCCGGACGCGGACAAGGTCTGCTAACATCGCCAGAAAAGACTTCTCTGTGTCTTGGCTTTAGCAGATTTCATATGGCAGTATCATGCTCAGTAAGGCCTTTCTCCAACAACCTATCGTACAACAAAACCTGTCTACTATGTAACGCACATTTCAGCGCACATTAGAGACGGCTTTTGGCCAAAATGAACATTCTTCCTACAAAGGATTTTTTTATGTGCAAATTCCTTGCGGTCCCTTACAATTTGCTGAAGCGATATATCGACCAAAAGCCGTTAACTTTGTTTAACTCTCCTCCAGCTTTGGGTTCAACGATCCCGTTTTCGGCATGGATTTCCCCCTGGTTGTAGTGTAGCTGGACCCCGCTGCCCTTTCGAATGGGAAACGGTCACAACGCAAGCGCGCTTTTATCGGTTCGGGTCGGACCTCGGTGACGTCATTGGTCTTTCCCCACACGCGCCCCCAAAACAATCTCTTTCGTATCGTGGCGGGGCGATCGTTTTATATATATACGACAAGATAACACATCTTTTCAACGAAACGGGTCGTGTAAATAAGGGGAGAGGGGCTACTGTACTTTACGAATTGATCTATGCACTTTTTGGATGTTCTGTGAATCAATTTGAATAATACACGTAAACGGCGGTTCGGAGCGGCTAAAAACAACTGATCTTTTTACAATTTCAAAAAAGGAGAATCAAAAAGAAATGGGAGAAAAAATATAGTAACGATCGTAAAAAGAATGCGGTTAGCTTGAGACGTAAACAGCATACCAAGTGCGACGCTCAGATTTCCTTTAAATTTTGCACACACTTCGGGCATAGAACCCATATCAATTCCCAAAAGTTTTAGCTTGCGCCATGAAGGTTCAGACAAGATATTGGACGATCTTTGCAGCCGAGAGAGTGCGCGAAACGCGGAGAACAGAGAAAGAAACATTTTTTGGCTTTATCGCTGCCGGCTCCGAGCAAACACTACCCTTTACAGTAAAATATAATATGAAACATTCACATCCCGACTTTTCGGGTCGGCGACAGTTCGGGTCAACACAAAGTCGGTCGATACGGGGCGTAGGGCAAGTGGACACCCAAAAAAAGGTGAAATGTCTACGAGGCCTGGCAAAGCCGCTGGATGCTTGGCGGGCGCTCGGAGAAATCTCGGCGGAGAATTGGCGAAGACTCGCAATATGTGCACTTTTTCTAATTTTAACTGCTGCCAACATTTGTGTTCTCTACCCTGAGTTATTGCGACAAATAAAAGACCAAAATCTGCGGTAAAAAATGGAGATCAGTAACTTTTACCAAGATATCATTTATGTGGGTGCATGTAAAATATAATACCTCAAAGAGGTGATAAGCTATCCTAGGCCATAGTATCGTTGCCCCGAACCGTAGCTGACCCGAAAAGTCATAGTCGAACTTTTTATACCAAATTTCAGCTCGAAAATGTCTAGAAAAGCTAGATTGCCTAGCTTATGTCCAAGAAAACCTTATTCTAAATCTATGCCAAGTCTTATCAAAATCTGAGCGTCGCACTTGGAGTACTCCCTTCGTAAATTCTATTCTAGCGCAGCGCTTTTTAAGAGGCGCAAAAACCCACAACCTCAGCACCATTCCGGCTCCTTTTTTAAGCCCCAAAAAAGTGTCAATATCAGCTACAGTAATGCGTAATCTCGCCTCAAACAAATGCGATTTTAGTCACGGGCTGGCACTCAAAATTAAACGCAGTTGTTTTTCCTCAAACAGCACCCGGAGGCAAGGGCTTCTCGAGGTCATTTGTGCAGGAAAACCCATGAGAATGCAAGTATCTGCAAGATTACATCATACCACGGCGCCACCGTTTTTCACAGCGTGCATTGCAGATAAGGCTGTTTGCGTTGGAACGGGTTGAAAAACACGTCGAAACTGTTGTTTTCAACGAAACCCAGGGCGCTTTTCTCACTTTTATCGGCACGGAGAGTCGTAACGAATGCTGGGTATGGGGATAGAATTAAGCAGTAGTCAGCGTAGAGCTCGTACAAGGCAAAACTCATATAGAAACGCGCAAGTGCGACGCTCAGATTTTACTAGGGTATATGCACGTCCCCGAGCTCGCGCTTTGCAGAAACCACCAAGATTTTTCAGTCGAAAGTTGGCAAAAATGTGCCATCGTTTTACGAATTTGGCACGAAAAATTTTGCACCTGTTTCTAACACAGAGGGTAATCTTTTATCACATAAAATTAATATTGTCATCCCATAGTTCGGTTTCAATTAGAGGGCATCTATTGGGCAAAACACAGAAATTAGAGGGCAGAGGTGAGAAAATTAGAGCCATTTAATTGTCCAAAATTCGACACTTTTTTGCTAACTTTTGCACGTCACAAAAAAAAAATCACGTTTTTCCGCACGAAACTGAAAAAGATATGGCCAAGAAGTCGTTTTCTGCGTGACCGCTGTCGCTTTTCGCGTACTCTCTATACAGCAAGAATCATTCAATCAGTAAAGCGCGAGCTGAGACTTAATCGGTTAATGAAGTTTCGTAGAGGTTTATAACGTAGAGAGTAATGTTTCCAAAAAAGCTATTTTTCTTGAAACTATCAAAGGCCGAAAAAAATTTCTCTTCGGCCACTCTCCGCGTTTTGCGTACTCTGTCGGCGGCAAAGATTGTTGAATATCTCGGCTGTCCCTGCAAAGTGCTAGAATTTTCAGGAGTTGAGATGTATCCTATGCACGAACTGTACGCAAAATTTTTAAAAAAATTTGGCGTTGCACTTGGGTTATTTCCTTTGCCAATCTGTACGTTTATGCATGTAACATTTCTTTCCCAAGCTTTAACTTCATTTTTGCGAAACCATCCAAATCTGAGTGTGACACACCGTGAGACTTCTATTCTTATCCGTAGATTCTTACCAACAGCTTTTACTGATATTTTTCTTACTACGAACACGCAACAAAGTCGCAAGCAGTAATCTTGTTTTGAACATCGTGCCCTGTTATCAGTAAAATTGGCTCTTACTGCATGACAAACATCAAGCTTCTCTGATCACAAAGACTACTCGCTGTTTAAAAGTGCAACAGTTTCGAAACTTTTCGTACTGCCCATCGGTTTCTTCGAAACTCTTTCGTTGACTTTGAATCTCTTTGGTCTCTGCACTGTGCAGTGATAAAGATAATAGGCTTTTACGAGTTTCGCTAAAATTCTTTTGATTAATCGGAGAGAAATGTTCGTTAGTCATAATATCTGTTTGTTCTTGAGATAAGGACACGATAATGAGCTGTTTTTCATGCACTCGACAAGGAAAGAGGGGACCGCACAGTGCGACAAAATTTGAGGCAAAAATAGAGTTATTTCGGGGGTAAAATACGAAGTTTATTGCTATAGTTACAACTTACTATAATAGTTTATTATTATTTTCGAGTTCAAGCCTGCTTATCATGTTGTAATTGTCATATCAAAATTTCAATTTTGGTCCTGGCACGAAAACTTGCAATGCAATTTTTTGCTGTATTTTTAGTTATAAGGCAATATAAGACATACTATTATCAAAAGTAAAACGCACAATATTTTAATCAGTAACAAAATGACAAGAAAATTAAAAAATCTTTCCAAATTTCGCATTTGGGTCCTACCACGAAAACTTGAAACAAAGTTTTTTGCTTATTTTTCACTTCGAGTAATCTTTAATGATATAGTAATCAAAATGAAGGTGTAAAATAATTTATTCATCCTCCGTCTCGCCAGCTACTTGATTACTACTCGAAAAACTCAGCGTTTTCTTGTAAAAATCGACTTTAACACAATACTTCTGAAGGAACGGGTAGCCCAGCACCCAGTAATCCTCGTTCGCGGTCATTTGGCGGAGCTTCAGAATGCAGTAGCCGGTTGTCTGAAAAATAATTTTGTTAATTTTACTTTGTAATATACGGCTGCTAGAGAAAGGTCTAAAATTCAAAGTTATTCAAACATTGTAAAATACGGCTATGGATAGAAATTTCAGCCTTTCTTGTACTGAATAGAGTAACATTTTTAAGAAAAATAAACTTTTTTAGCGCAAGGCTGGCAGAGATACGTCCAAACAGCCCTTTTTCTCTGACCTCTCTACGCTCTCCGCGACTCGCATGCTCTCTCGGCGGCTAAGATTATTGAATATCTCGGCTGAGCCTGCAAAATGCGAGCTAAAACTTTCAGGAATTGATAGGTTACCCATGTCCAAAATGTGTGAAAAGTTTAAAGAAAATCTGAGCATCGTACTTGTATTTATTATTTTTTGGAGTTATTTTTACTTGATATATGGATAAATTGATGGTCAAAAATTTATGTCGAGGAGTGCACTGTTCATTGTTCATATCTATATCCAAATTGGCCGTTTTTGACCTACTTAAAAACTCGTATTTAATAAAAAAAAACATAGACACTTGGGTCACTGGTGAATCTATTATTATAAAATACAAAATCTTACCGTCCTCTTGACGTAATCCGTTCCATCCAGCGTCAAACTTTTCCCCTCCACGCCGAATGTCAATACCGGTGCGCTCTTTGTCAAATTGCACGGGATGATTTTGTGTTTTCGCAGTGGAATCCCCTTGTCATCGGTTAAATTTCGGGGGTCCCACACTGGCAACAGCACTTTTTCCACTACCGAGAATGTGGCGGGATCTACAACGACATACGATGTCATTGTCGAGAGCAACATCTTTTTGTTTGTTCTAAAATTTGAAGAACATACTTATAGTTGTAAATAAGTCTGTCGGGAAAATAATGAGCACCATGTCGCTATGACGTCGCTGAGTGAAAAGCAACTTGATTTTGTCGCGACACAATTCATTTTCTCATCGGCGATGCGATTTTCGATGCGACAGAGTGCTCATTATTTTCCCGACAGATTGATATTACAGTGCTTACAGTGTCGAGTTAAAGGCGAAGTAATTTCCCTCCGAGCCAGGATACAACGCTCTTGTACGGATCATTGGGAAGGTTAGAGAGCTGTTGGAACAGCGGCTGTCCACCGCGTTTGCACCAGTGGCCACTCGGCCTTCTGTTTTTCCATAGCTGAAAATTCAGAGCATTTTTGAGACTTATTATTTAGCCCATGCTTTGACATGTAAGTAAAAAAAGGTGTTCGCTACTTCGCGGTTAAAATGACGCAGTTGGAAAAGGCGTACTTTCGGAAAAACATAGTACAAGTCTGTCGGGAAAGTAATGTGAATTCGCCGCGCTTTCGAATCATCCATCATCTTTTTGCAACGGCTAGACGGGCTGAAAATTTGGGGATCAACTGCGAAGGCGAGACGTCTTTCTGCTACGAATCCACATTATTTTCCCAACAGACTGATATGTAGACGTCACAAGGAAATTTTTCCCAATGAGGCGCTAGATTTTTTCTTTCAATCTTTCAGGCGCGTTGAAACGATGCTGCATATTAACTCTTGTAAATCCTGGCCTACAGCTCTTAAACACAAAAGATCATTTCCAAAAACCTTACGTTGGTGTGTACAACAACATCACATTCCCAGGACTGTTACTAATCGTTACACCGTTCGCGTATGAACTTGTTTGCATCCCGAACACCCCACTTCCACCGACGAGATAGCTCATGTAAGTCGTCACGTTCTTCAGTGCAACGCCGATTTGAGGAATCCCTAGCGCATTGGTATTCAAATTGATGACGCTCCGAGCAAACTGAATTGTAATGTTGAAGTCGTCTTCGTAGATGGGCTTACGGTACTTGACGATGAAACGCGTGGAACTCTCGTTGAACACAACAAGTGGGTCATTGCTGAAATTGGACGGAATTGTTTTCGAAAAGGGCTACCTATGTTCCCCTAGTAAAAATAACGTTAACTCCGAACCTACGCCGTCTTCAACACTCCGCTTGGCACGCCTTGAAGTAGGGCATCATCCACTTTGTTCGCCCCAAAAACCCAAAAGTTATCGGAAGCCAGATCAAGGGCCACAGTCAGGGTCTGATTCGTGGCCAGATTCAAGTCTGTCGTCTGCAGAAACCCCTCTTCCAACCTAAGTGGCAGGTCCAGCTGGGGAAAGCACTTTGATAACGAACAGATCGCCGTTAGAACGGTATTGAAAGTGATCATCTGGAGTCTTCGAAAAACATATTCCAATCGATAAATTGAGACAACTGGCGGGAGGGTAAGTTCTACCCTTTGGGGTGGTAAAGGGAAACAAAAAGATTATCCGAAGTTGGAAATTGTCGGAAACATGCGAGTCGTAAAAGGGTATCATTGAGAGAAAAGTCTCCTAAAAGTTTTGATTGAACTCTCTATGTAATTTCAAGCCATTTCACGACTTTGTGTGCGAATTTGCATATTCCCATTGAATGACTGACAAATTGGTATAAAGAGAATGGAAATCTTCCAATCAATGAGTGTGAGGAAGTGTGAATTATTCTTTCTTTGTTTTTCCCACTGCGGCGGTTGTGTTTGGATCAATAAAACATGCTTCTATATATACAGTGAGGGACCGGATCCAATGGCAAAAAACGTCTCATTTTGTATCCCGGAAAGGACCAAAATGTCTCCAAACCCTTCCCTTCTCTAAGCTAAAAAACCACGCTTTGAAGAGCCCGCCTTGAAGGAAAGGGCACGCTTTTCAAAGCGGAGTTTTTTAGCTTATTGTTAGAGAAGGGAAGGGTTTGGAGTCATTTTGCTCCCTTCCGGGATGCAAAATCAGACGTTTTTGCCATTGGATCAGGTCCCTCACTGTAATCTGTCTATTGTGTTGTGGTGTATCGTATGGCGAACTCGTCGCATCCCGTTGCATCCGGAGCGAACACTGTGCTCACTAATATACTGTCTCCTTCGGATCCTTGAGATTGTCGCCCTTACTGTCTTTCTGCTAGGGCCTTTGTAGTTCGCAGTTGTGTTGTATAGTCGTACTTGGGCTTGGAATCTTAGATAGAACCTAGACTAGGGACCCTTAGTATACGTCTTCTAACCCAACTTGTGACAGCCATAACATGTAATCCTTTTGTAAATTTTTAGGCCAAGACCCTGTACTCGCGTTCTTTTTTCTTGGCGGTGATGTCTTTACGAAACTCGTGGGTTGGAAATTAGATTTCAATTATTGTTTGCAGACTTTCTTGGAACTTTTTAAGGAAACAAAAAGCACACACGTCTCTGTAAAAACAATAAGTTGTCAATTACAGTCGGCTAACAAAAGAGATAGACAAAAACGTTTCAGTAGTTTGTTTAATGGGCGCCTACGGTCCTCATTAAATTAAAACCTCAAATTTTTCTGGTGTCCATCGCTGACTCAATAATTCATGTATGGTGCCTTAAACCCCATGAAAGCTTCTCGTCTGCTTCCTTTCGTCCATTGTCGTCGTAATTGTGACATTTGAATCGACAAACAACTTTGTTGTCTGAACGAAAACTCGTCGATAGGAAGGCAAGAACAAGAGCACAGTCAACGTGCTCAATATAGGCATTAGCTGAAGGAAGGCTGACGCAATGTAAGCCACTTGTTCGAGGTGATAGCCGGCAACAATGAGGCAGGCAACCCCAAATCCGGGGATTACCGAGACAACAATGGGATATGCTGCCTAAAAGCCGATATACTATCAATGATTTTACCAACATACCTGTAATATCATGACGGTTACCACGTTCTTCTGCGCTTGTTGAGTGGCGCTCCTTACATGGCTGTGGTGATCGCGGATTTTCTGGATAATTTTGAACCCAAAGAAGCACATGATGCCGTATTCAAGCAGTACCATGATTCCGTAGTGAACCGTGCAGATCATCACAATTGGCTTGTCCTGCAATAAACTTTGAAAAAAATCGCAATTTTTTGATTTTTGCAACAAATTCTTGGGAAGTTTAGTGTTCGTTTTTAAGACGTTCTGAACATTTTTCCGACTATTATTTTTCTGATAGTAAAAAATTTCGAGTCAAAAACCCCACCAATCTCATCGAAATGTGCCGCTGAACATGATCGAGCTTGGTGTTCTCCAAAATATTCCTCACACTCTCTTCCGACTGCCGATCGCGGCAAACGAAAAACATTGCACACACCAGTGTCATGTAGACCACACAGACTCCATACGTCTTGAAATAACGGGCTTTAGGCCACTTGTTGCTTTTGCAAAGAATGCAGTAGCGGTACCAGAAGTGGACCGCGTTGTTGGCGGGTACCAGCGAAGTTGTGTAGCTAGCAGTGAGAATGGAAATATCAATCATTGTGGGCGAGACATTTTGGAGAAGGGGATTTTCAACTGTTTCGAAAAGATATTTGGAAGTGGTGATGGCGGTCTGAAACAAAGAAATGGTTGTATGAGAACAATAAATAAAGAAATTGTACTGGAAGTGAAGAAATTTTTTATGAATTTTAGCGCGAAGAGCTTCATCCCGATTTCCCTCTCGAACCGCTCTCCTCATTGGCGTACTCTCAAGATAAGATCAACAAGTATTGTGAAACCTAAAATATTCAGGAATCGATAGCTGGGGTCGATACCCTGCCCCATTGTGTGCAAAAACTTTAAAAAAAGTCTGAGCGTCACATGTCAAACTGAGGAGTCCGGCGATCAGAATAGACCCTTTGCTATCGGTTTTTTACACTTCGTCTTGATTTCGCAGAGAAGACAGAGAAAGACGCGCAAAAACACACTCTCTCGCCCCAAAACTTCCCCATTTCTTCCCCGACAAAACGTTTTTTTACAGGGTGACCCAAAATAACGGAGACAAATTTTGGAAGGGTCCCACCGCGAAACCCGGGCGTTATAGAAACACAAGCGACAGTGGGTAATATTCTATAAGACTTTCTCTATAATCCACAAAAATTTGGCGGAGTCATCATGTCGCAGTAAAAAGTTACAGCTTAACAAAAATGCCTTGCGCCGTTTTTTTGGCCCTCAACTTTGGTTTTCTTTGTGTTGTTGAGCATGGCTGTACTACAGCCGCAGAAATGGCAAGTTCATTTGTTTTGCTAGACTACTACGTCTCTAAGCAAGCAGTTATGTAGGTTTCTGGGCTACGGTTTTTATTTCTACGGTGGTATCAATCTCAACATTGAAGATCGCCATTTTTTCCAAATTTTTTCGATAAAAAATTCAGTTTTTTTAGAATAAAGCTAAAACCGCTAGAACGTATTCTATTCATAAATACAATAATTCTGGAAAAAGCTGTGATTGCTTGCTGGTTGCAACAGATTTTCCTTGACAAGTTTCTCGCCCAGAACTACCCCATGGCACGCGGCTTTGAGAAAGATGGGTTATCGATAACAAAATGACAAGATAGATAAAAACGGCGCATTCTGCTCTTGTACACTTATGAATACGACTCTTGAGAATCGGCCTAGGGCACTTTCGGTCTTTATGTGTCACCGGCTCGACTGGTATTCCGCCTAAGGCAAAAATAAGGCACAACTCTAGTTATTACCAAATAGCATTCCGTAGCAGTTACAAAATGTTTCTTTTTTGGTTCTATGGTGTTCCTCTAATCATTTTCTAGTAACTCATATTACATTTTGCCTTATCTAACATTTAAACTCCTTTTTACGCCTACATTTTCAAAAAAGGCCGATTTTTGCACTTCAACTCCCTGAAAATAATCGGCTGTAACTTTTGAACCATCGATAGTTGAGCATAGCACGATGGCTCGTTTTAAAGGCCATATTATGATAATTAAGCACAGCAAATCTCAAACTATTCCGAATTTTCTTTTTTGAGTAAGGCAGCTTTCTTGCAAAAAGACCCCACGGGCAGAAAGGTCCGGGTCAACCGGATATATTGATGTGGTTCAAGGCACAAGAGCGTCGTACAACAAAACTTCCGGTATATAAAACTACACTAACGTGGTACTGTAGTATAAATAAGGAATCACTCATGAATCTTCATAGGCCGCAGAAAAAACGGGAAATCTTTTGTCTCCGTTATTTTGGGTCACCCTGTAAGTCTTTTTTTTTTGGCTAATCGGCAATCCATTCCTGACTGTTTTAGCTTATCTCAGTTTGACCGCGCATCGCACTTGATAGCCTTCCCTTGTAAATACATATAAAATGAAGTTTCGCTCGAACTCTGAATACACCCCTGGCACGCTGAATGTCTTCCTAGTTGAGACATTCGCCAATAACCCCCAGTTCCAACCTACCATCATCGCATTCCCCAATGCAATCGAATACAGTAGGTCAATAAAGATACTAAAGCCCAAAATCCACGCATAATCCCGCTGTTTATTTTGTCGATGAAGTTTGTACGATAGTACTAGGACAAGAGTGCACAATATAATCGACATAATCATTACGATTACCGAGTAGATTCGGTACAGATCTCTGGCCAACATTTTGCCGGGAGTGTTTTTCCGTGCATAACTAGGTAATCGGAAAGCTTGTGTAAAAGCTGTAATTGATATAACGAAAGACTATAACTGGGTTAGTACATGTCGAAATTTTGTGCATTTTGAAGGAGCCACATTAGAACCCGTAATTGGCAAAGCAACTGCTAATAAATTGGCTAAGATTACAAGACGAACGTCACTGTGACAAGCCCGAACAAGTCGCATGGAAATAGTGTCGAAACGGAAATTATATTAGCTATCTTTGGTGGGTTCAACAATCTGATTACGGTGGTTTTAGTGTGAACAATGAATCTTAAAATACAAAATAGACTGGTTAAACTGGGGAACGGCCACCTAATATGTAGGAGAACAGCTCAAATTTTGATGATATTTGGCACAAGAAAACATGCTTCTAATACAGCTCTGTCGGGGAAATAATGAGCGCAATATCGCTCAATTGAAAAGCAATTTGATTTCGCCACGAAACAATTCATTTTCTCAGGTGTGACGCGTTTTCCGGTGCGTCAAAATGCTCATTATTTTCTCGACAAACGGCTACATACAGACGCGGGACTCCTAGGCCGCGTATATGTCATATTTCATTCAAAATTTCGCAAAAGATCGTTTTTAATATCTCGGTTGTCCCTGCAAAATGCATGCGAAAATTTTCTGGGGTTAAAATATGATATACGCGACATCGCGGGCAATTGCCAAGTTTACAGCTGCGGCTTACCACGCAAAGCAATGATGGGCGATAGCAAGCGTTGAGGACCCCGCCACTATTTTCCCGACAGACTGATAGCTGCGCATAATCGATATTGCGCCTCTATGGGATGACAAATATCGAAAACTTACAGTTCGAAAGACCAAAACGTTTCTTTTTTCTTTTTTTTTTTGAGAATGTAAAATCATTATCCAAGCATTTTCCCCTCAAAGCTTATGAATCAGCAGTTCGAAGCAAAAAAAGAAATTTTTAGCTGGTCTCTGATTGGCTGCTCTTCTTGTAACTCGCTTTTCTCAAACGCCCAGAGGGGGTATAAACATTTCGAAACACCTTTTAAAGTCAGATTTTAGACACTCAGACATTCGCTTGTTTTCCCTACAGCTTTCTTGAGACCGCCATGGACAACTTTTTTAATCGAGAGAATCTGAAAGCCTGGGGAGATTTGCCCTTTGCTACTGATTCTGAAAATGATCGTGCCAATGCGTCGAGGATGTTTTCCAAATCAAGTGAGTGAAAATCTACACCAGATTTACAAATAAATAGCTAGTGAAGTCACAATGTGCTATATAACATTGTGACATAGTCACTTGGCTTTCCCAAAACTGCATAGTTTTTTTCGTCGCGCCGAGCAGTCCATTTTGCCCTTTTTTGCATGGTGCCTTTTCAAATATATCTTGCACTATGCATTTTCATCCACCGCGCGGAATCGCTTCGGAAACATCAAAGCGGCGAAGTTGACGGTGCAAAATGGGAGTTTTTGCACAGCGCGGCTTCGAGGCAAAATTTGAAAAAAAAAGAGAGAATAGTGCATCAGGCTGTCGGGAAAGGAATGACCACTCTGTCGCATTGAAAATCGCATCGCCGCGGAGAAAATAAATGTCGCGAGAAAATCAGATTGCTTCTGACTTTAGCAACGCTCTTGGCGCGGCATTTTGGTTTGTGCTCATTACTTTCCCGAGAGCCGATACTGGTTCGAAGAGTCCCATCAAAATATGGATCGTGTATTGGACAATTTCTAAAAGTTACACACTTCCTAACATTAGATAACTCCAACTGTCACGGTGATCATTTTAATCAATTTATCTTTCAGATGACCTCCCACTCACGACAAATCAGCAGCGACAAGACGATGCAACATTACTCCTTTATCAAAAGAGATTTTCTCAAACTGATAGCCCCGTTTCACACGGTACTTCGAGCGGGTTTCGAAGCACAAACGACAGTCCCTGGTCTCTCCTAAGCCATCCGCCAAGTGGCAGAAGCAGCGCCATATCCGAAAGACCGCATTCTCATCTTCTGTGGAGCCAGTTGGAAGATGAAAATTGCACAAGTTCTTCTTCAATCTACAATAACGCAAGATCTACATCAAAAACTAACGGTTGTTTCAACGTGGCCAACTTTTTTGACTACATAGACTATGACACTTTCTGCCAGCCTGGTCCTCGATACCCACCAAAATCCCTGTATATTCCCAGTCACTATAAGCATTTCATTATTGGCGCTTGCTTTTGTCTCCACTGTTGCTACACTGCCTATTGTCGGTCTTTCCGTCCCAAAATTCATGATACAGATGATCGTCTCAACTTTGATGTGTGCTTCTGCTATCACTGCTGGGGAAAGTAACCAAAATGTATAATACCGGTGGACATGGTATCTTCAATTAAAATTTACGGGTTATAGCGCTTTATGGGTTCTGAGTAAAAGCTTTAGACCTTGAATAAACTTTTTTATGCATATTTGTCTATGAAATTCAACTGTTATCATGTGTAATTAACAACATAGATGACAAAAATGTTCCTGTTCTGTTTCAATTTTGTCCCCAAGAACTGGATTTTCAGAAAAATACATAAATATTAGTAATATTTGTATAAAATAAAATATTATTCTGTCGGGAAAATAATGAGCACAGTGTTGCTGCGGCGATCGTGTTTATAAAAGAAAATTGATTTTTCCGCGACCTTTTAATGCTAAAAAGTGCTTATTATTTTCCCGATAGACTGATATAAAAGAATACTACGATTTTTGAAAAGTGCATAAACCTTTTGTCGAAATGCTAAAACTCCATTTTGCATAGTGCATTTCACTTTTCACACTCTTTCCCTTTTTTCAAACATACTGTGCGAAAACCAGGAAAGTGCACAGTGCGTGTGAGAAAAAGGGCAAAATGCCTTATACGCCGCAATATCAGCGTGTCGGGAAAATAATTTGGATTGGTCGCGCCTTGAAGTCGCCCATCATCGCTTTGCGACGGCTAGCCGCATCTGGAGATTTGCTTGCGCGACTGCAACATTTTTTTGACAAAGGGAAAGGTTTTACTGCAACGACCAGCCGTTATTTTACAACAGGCTGACAAAAAGTCTACGCACGTTTGAAAAAGCCCAGTAAGACAACAGAAATATCAGTCTGCCGGAAAAAAAAATTGATTTGGACCGGTCGCGCCTTGAACCCATCATCGCTCTGCGATGGCCAGCCGCGCCTCGAGATTTGGTGCGCATCTGCGACGAGGCGATTTATTGTATTTCAATTTTGGCTATGAAGAAAAAAAATTAAAAATTGGCTGACACAAACAGGCGATTACTAATAGTTTTCCCGCTGGTCATACGGTAATGAATCACAAGGATACAATAAAAAAAAATCTTCAAGAACATGTATCAAATTTGACTCATGGTTTGCAGAGTCGGAAACAAGTTTAACGGGGTCAAAAAAGGCGTTGCGAAATTCATTTATGAGAAGTTCTGTTCCCAACCCCTCAGTCCAATACAGTCCAAGATCAAACGTGTACCCATTCAACAACATGGACATGGAGATGGATTTCGAAATCGTTGACTGTGATGTAATTCACGACAGTTATGAGGAAGGTACGAAAAAGTTTTGACTTATAAGTTTCTCATACGTATGCGCAAACTCTTGAGCCTATGCGTTATGTGTTCTAAACCAATGACGGGCATTGAATCTGCAATTGAACCATTATCCGAGAGTAGTATCACTTCTCTGCCAAAAGGTCACAGTCCACGCCAACCACGTACTAGTCGCGCCATAAAGTCCTGACACAATTCGTCGCGGGTGTCGCGCGAGAAAATTGGAGTGGCTCGCGCGAAAGTGCATGTCGCTAGTGCAAAAACGGGGAATTACCGCAACGGGTCCGAAAGAAAAACAAAATGCACTGTGCAAATGTGTCAGGACTTTATGCCGCGACTAGTAGTACAGTGCAAAGCGATTTCTGAAGAGGCTGCGCAAAGCCAAGCCACCTCGCAATGGCGCACGCACGATGCAAAGCCAAGTTAAGAACTTTTTACCCGCCTAGTACTTGCTGATTTTATACCCGCCTAGTACTTGCTGAGAAACGGCTTTTTTACAGTAGCTCTAGTACGGTAGCTGTATGTCGGGAAAATACTGGGCACTCGTGACAAAATTCATTTTCTCGGCGGTTATTGGATGTAACATTGTGCTCATTATTTTCCCGGCAGACTGAAAAAAAAGCTTTTTAATGAGCTAAAAGTCTATGGCAACCTTTTTCCTATGTGTTTTTTAGCAGATACTGCGTTGGATGTCACAGAAAACTTTGAGAAGTTGTCAATATCTTCAGTTTGGTCAGAATTTTCCTGCCCAGCCAAAGACAAGGAAAATGACGGCGAAATAAATCAATCTCGCGTTTCAACCAATGATTCCTCAAGCTCATGCTGGCTTCTCCTTCGATTTCTCGAAGATCTCCCGCTCCAGGAGCCTCCAGTTTTTCCACAAGACGTCGTCACGCCTAGCGACCCTGATTTTGATGATAAAAACGATTTGGCCGTCTACTGCGACGATGGCAGCCACAACTTTCCGGACTTACCTTCTGAAGAGCCGATGGACTTTGAGCCGAGCTGGGGCTGTAATCCCTGTGGCACTGAGCTTCCAGAGCAATCCATGTGGCCGGATGACTTCAAGAAAACAGTGACCTTTCCATTCATTTTCTTTCAGCCCAAAAACCGGTATAATCAACAATAATTTCGGGTGATTTGAGACCTACCTCCTTTCAACGCAATTTTTCTGAGCTTTCAACTACAATCGCCACAGATTTTATTTCCATAATTCTTATAATGACGAGGAAATCAGTAACATTAAGATTGTTTATATAACGTATCGGCGGTATGAAATATCACAGCGTTCGATCAATTGGCATGTATTGTTATAAATGGCTTATTATGTAATAAATGAATTGGACAAATGGAAACTGACTCATAGTTGGTTTGGTTTTGTGTGCAAGACGTGGAATACAACGGCTTCATGACGTCGAATTTCCATATCATTCTGTCGGGAAAGTAAAATGAATGGGGTCGCGGCAAAATTAAATTGCTTTTCAGTTCAGCAACTCGAGTGGCGCAGGGACTTTGTGCTCTTATTTTCTCGGCAGACTAATAAAAATTTGTCAATTCTGGCTACAATGAAGCCACAGCCCAACGAAAATTTCATATCTGAAAGTTAGCTGAAAACTTTGCAAAACAATCGAGGCCAGCCCAGGCACAAGTTACCTCATAACGATAAAAAAGTGTTTTTTAAATACATATAGAAAATTTTCATTTTTCCAGGCTTGTTTTCCAAGCTGAGCCCGACCATTTTTCAGCGAACTTTGAGATAGAAAATTGGCCGCTACGCACGGCAACCCAGGACAGACAAAAAAAATTTTTTGCAAAAATGTCTCCCGCCGACTTTGCGTTTCGTCCAAACGAAGTGTCGCAATTCACAAAAAAAAGTCCCAGAGAGCAGGACTCCCTGTGCTGCCATGCTACGTCAACGCGACCATGCGGCAGCAACAGCCACCCGCACCGTGCAAAATGGATTATAGGTCTGTCGGGAAAATACATAATGAGCATTCTGTCGCAAGGAAAATCGCATCGCCGCCGAGAAAATGAATTGTGTCGGGACAAAATCAAATTGCATTTTTTTCACGTCAGTGATGCGATGGCCACAGCCACAGAATGCTCATTATTTTCCCGACAGACTATAATAATAAATTGTAGTATTTTCATACCGGTCTGTCGGGAAAATAATATGGATTTTCTGCGCGTGGGAAATGAAATTTCAAACTTCCATTCCAAAACAAATATTTATTGCAATCAAAATGCGTATCAATGAAGTTTATGACTGAATAAATTTCACCGGACTTGGTCGATAAACTCTTCGACGACCTCGTTTCTCCTTCAACAAGCACAAGCACAACACGATTACCAATAAAGCCAGAGCGATTGCGGCGACTAAAATTATGGAAAACAGCATCCAAACCGTTTCCACTTCCAGCTCCCTCTCTGCCAATGTCTTTGTATCCGAATAGGCGCCAATATGACCGAATTTGGTCGTTGCTTTCACCGAATTCGCTGACGATTCAGATGTTTCGCGGTTGTCTTCCTCATTTTGATCATCATTATCGTCATTTTCTGCTGGAGGCGGGATAATTTTGGTCTCCTCTTCCTCAGACTCAGAGGCCTCTTCAATGGCCAAGTCGTTGAGCCAAAATTTGATGGCGGGCTCGTTAAAATACGAGTCGTTTATCATGATGCCGCCAACGAAATCGGTCGCATTTTCGGTCGGCCGAGGAAAATCGAACAGATAGTAACCTGCGCCATGCCAATCGGAGGTCGTCCAGTCTAAAGTGTATTTTACATTTTACATAGACCCCCAAAACGAAGAGGCCTCTTTTTGAAAAAATTTGTAAAAAAATTTTAAAAAAAAAAGAGAGGTGACATGTTATATAAAGAAAAAAAAATTGCAAAATGAAAAAATAGGGTACGTCATGTATAACATGTCGCTTCCACTGAATTTTCGCCGTATGATTACTTCAATTTACCACCATCAACAAGTTAAATTCAAAAAACTTGCATCGTATAACATGTCATCCTATCTTTTTATTTTGCTAAAATTTTTTCATCATATAACGGCTCACTCTATTTTTTCATTATAGAAATTTTTTCATCGTATAACATGTCACCCTATCTTTTCATTTTGCTAACAAGGAAAGTACTTCTATGGGGTGTGGAATTACCGGTCGAGATATATATCAAAAAATTCGCAAAAATTTTCTGATTCAGAACATATATAAATTAGCTGCCTAATTTTGGTCTATCAGCGAGTTTTTTCAATAAATCTTTTTCTCGAGGAAAAAAATCTGCGGCAACAAAAGCGCGCTCGGTCTCTTCCTTCGGAAGAGAGCGGTGTGGCCGAGTGGTTAGAGCGCTGGGTTGGAAATCCGAGGGAAACGGGTTCGGTTCTTTTTGCCACATTAGAACCCATTTTTTACGTTGGAACTACTTTTAAGGTGTAGTTGTAATCCAATTTGATATTTTAAGGCTTGCCAAGGCTTCAGAATTTAGTTTAGCACAAAACAAAATTTTTTTATTGGTAAAAACACGGTCAAAAAGACACTTGCATGGTGTCGCGAGAAAACTTCTGAGGACAAAAACATGTCATCAGACCAAAATTAGGCAGCTAATTTATATATATTCTGAATCAGAAAATTTTTGCGAATTTTTTGATATATATCTCGACCGGTAATTCCACACCCCATAGAAGTACTTTCCTTGTAACATTTTTTCATCGTATCAGGGCTTTAAACGTGTCACTCTATTTTTTGATTTTGCAAAAACTTTTTTCATCGTATAACAATTTTGGGGGCCTGTCCGCTTGAGGAGCCTCTTGGTTTACAACGCCTACCTCCATCAAGTCCTTTGATAAAACGTCGAATCTTTTCGTTGTAGCGGTTGACAATCTGTGATTCCTCATCGTTCTCGGCTTCCGATGCGTTGACGATTAGGAACCTGAAGTGCTTCGGATTAAACATGATTTTCAAATCGAAATTTAACCCGTTATTCCTAAGAGCAAATTGGCTTTGCGGGCTTTTGAATCAGTTACAAATTCTACTTCCTCAATCAACCTATCTTACTTTACATCATCCTCCAATTCGACCTTCTCCCCAATCACTCCAATATAACTGTCGCCTCCCTTGGCCGTGTTCATTCTGGCCAAATTTACTGTGAACGCATACTGAGCGTCCGTCAGGCTGTTCTTCCCATTATTCGTATAATATTCGATGCATTCTTGGAGACTGGAGTTGGAGTAATATCCAAAGACTGGCAACGCGGTCTCACAAGACTCCTCAACCTCGAATTCCGTAGGTTTCTTGGAGCTTTTGTCTTCAGAATCCGGAGCGTTGATGATTAAAAGCAGCGGCAAGGGTCGCCAGAGTTCTCGGAGTTGGGGCTGGTCGTTGGCGGGCAATAGGTCTTGGTCGAACCTCGGTCCCCAATAAGTCTCCGGGGTTTTGGCTTTGAAAACAGCGGCGTCGATTTCCTCGCTGGACTTGTTGTTGAGGCACGCCAAAGAGCCCGCGGAAGTCAAGGGGACTTGATCCGAATCGAAATCGCACTAAAAGAAGAAAATGAAGCCGAAAATAAGAAAATGTTTTTTATCGGATAGTGACATTTCGTTTTGAACGAATCACCAAAAAGGGGCGGGAATTTTTTTCGTCTATTTTGGATTGACGTGTGATGGAGCTATAATAACGAGGGAAGTACTGCAAGTGCGCGCTACGACTTTTCGGGTCAACGACAATTCGGGTTAACGTTACTCTGGATCGCGTCGATTCGTCGTGTATGCATGGGGGAGGCCAGCGGAAGCCTTAGCCAGTAGGAATAATAAGATTGATGAGCCCTAGGATAGCTTATCACCTATTTTGAGCTATTTTACATGTACTCACATCAATAATATAAGGCGCGTGCGTTCTACTTCTCTTCGGACTTCCTCGCAGAAAACCCGCATTTCTTGTCTGTGGGCCCGCTAGACAAGAAACGCGCAATTCTTGTCTAAAATTGCGTAACATTGCGCAATATTGCGCAATTTTCTGCTCTCTCCCCGTGAAGTTTTTTTTTCTTTTTTTCTCTGCTCAGCCAAGAATTGCGCATTTCTTGTCTAGCGGGCCCACAGACAAGAAATGCGGGTTTTCTGCGAGAAAGTCCGAAGGGAAGTAGAACGCACGCGCCTTATATCAAGATAAAAAAGTTACGGGTCTTTGTTTTTGCCGGCTTCGCCAGGTCTCGTAGGCACTTCCTACAATCTTTTTTTGGGCAGACACCTGCCCTACACCCCGTATCGATCGAATTTGTGTTGACCCGAAAAACGCCCCCAAATGAGGCCCTCGGATTTTCGTTAAATTTTGCTCACATATTTGGCATAGGCCAGATATGATTTCCTGAAAGTTTTAGCTCGTGCTTTGCAGGGGCAGCCGAGATATCCAACGACTTTTGCGAGAGAGAGGATGCAAAACGCGGAGGGCGGTTAGACAGAAGAGCAGTTTTTGGCTATTTCAGTCTGTCTGGAAAATAATGAGCACAATGTCGTCGTACCGATCGCATCGATGAAGTGAAAAGCAATTTGATTTTGCTGCTCCGTAATTCATTCTCTCGGCTGCGACGCTATGAGATTTTGGCTGCTAAAGAGTGCTCATTATTTTCCCGAAAAACTCTTATACATATGTTTGCCAAAATTCGCATGGAACATTTCGTTTTTTTACTGACGGATCCTGCTTTGCAGTCGTATTTTACAAATTTATTCATCTTTCGAAGCCCTGTTGACTTACCTTCAACAACTCCAGCACTTTTTTGGTCGCATTCAAACTATGACCACCTCCAATACTGGGCATTGCACTGAACAAAATCCCTTGACTAATTGGGATCTCTCTGAATTTTGGTGAGTTCAACAACAGGACTGATAAATCAGCCCCATACGAAGAGCCAAATATGGTGATTCGATTGGGATCACCGCCGAACGCGCGGATCTCTCGATTCACGAATTGAAGGGCGAGGCGAAGGTCTAAACATCAAGAAGCAGTTAATTGAAGTGGGTTGGGCCACACAAAGGGTTTGTTTTTGCCAAAAAAATGACCGAGAAGATAACAGAAATGGTTGTCTATGATAATATGCATATCAGTCTGTCGGGAAAATAATGAGCACCCTGTGGAATTAAAAATGTGTTTTTTTCGTCGTCTCAAAATCAAATTGCTTTCCACTTCAGCGACGCGATCGGCGCGGCGACATAGTGCTCATTATTTTCCCGACAGAATGATAAGTCGCGGCAAAAAGTCCTTGAAATTTTCGCAGCCCCCAAATTCCATCGCACTCCGAACCTGGCTCCGGCTTTTAGCGGCTCCGAGCCGGGACCAGAGCCGAAGCCGGAAATTTTGGGTCCGGCTCCCGAGCCCAAAGTCGGAGCCAGGTTTCTCAGCGTTCAGAAAAGTAAAAATTTCGTGGTCTTGTTAAACCAAATTGCTTGAAAAATACTGGGAATGATGTGTTGCATACGAATTGGCCGCAAAAACGTTGGGTTTATGATCTGTGGCACTAATAACTTTTATTTTTGGAAAAAATATTTTTTTAAAATTTTTGCACGGGGCCGGAATTCGGAGCCGGAGCTGCAAAATTTGAACTCCAAGGACTTTTTGCCGCGACGTAAAACGCAAAATTGATTTTTCAAAACCTTACCGTGAAGCCCCACATTATAGGGCGCTTCGTCCAGATCCTCGCCCAAATCCAAAAAGCCCAAAAGACCCATTCGATAATTTGGACGGACAAAGACAATTCCATCGTAGGCAAATTTTTGGGCGACTTCAAGTTCGCTGAAGTCGCCTGAAGACATTGGCTGACCGATAAGGTCATGGACGAAAAATACGACTGGGCACGAAGTGTTCTAAACATGGATTTTTAAGGTATTAGATGGGTCGAAAAGTTTTGACGAGTCTGTCGATAAAATAATGACCACTCTGTCGCATATAAAATCGCATCGCCGCCGGGAAAATTATCTTGGTCGCGGCAAAATTAAATTCCTTTTCTCTTCAGCGATGCGATCGGCGCTGCAACGATGTCCTCATTATTTTCCCGACAGACTGATAGTACAGCGAGTTTCTTTTGAAATTTGAACCTATGTGTATATATGCAACCGCAAGAGGCCCAAAACTTTATTCCTTATGGAAGGGTTTCACTGTACGAAGCTTTGTTTTTTGGGCCTAATAATCATCACTAGAGCTCAAAACTTTCGCTTTATACAGGTTTCCTTGTACGGACGCTTCATTTAAAGTGGTACGACAAAACCTGCCTATAACGGAGAATTTCGAGAGTCACAAGATCCAATCTTGAGCCAAGATTAACCCATCGTACAACAAAACTTTTCTATAACAAACAATTTTTCTTTTGGTCTTTTGGTTTCGCTACAAACAGATGAACAACTTTTTTTTTACTCACCAAACATTTCTGATCGGCAAAAACGCTCAAATAAAGACAGTCCTCGCTGATATTCTTGGCCGACTCTGGATTGAAGCCGTTGGGACATGGGGACATGTATTCGTTACTGTCGAAAACACCATCCCAATCGCCGACTTCGAACGGCCGTCTGAATCGGAGATCGTCGATCGGAGGCTCCGCATATGGAATAGACTGTAAAAGTGAAATTTGTGGGAATTTGTGTGGAAAAAAGATCAAAAAGTATCAAAAATCAAAACTTTTTATTTTGGACGAAACCTGGCACAAATTTAGAGTAGATTTTCTGGCCAATTGCACACACTATTCAGCCCCGAATAACATGTGCTATAGGTCATTCGAAAGCCCTTGAAAAGCATATTGCAAAAAAAAGTTTTAGATATCAGTCTGTCGGGAAAATAATGTGGATTTTTCGCAGCAAAATGTATCGACGCAGCAAATCTCCAGCCACGGCTAGCCGTTGCAAAGCGATGATGGCCGGTTATAACGCAAGGAAGACCGAATCCACATTATTTTCCCTACAGACTAATAGAAAGGGGCGAAAAACTTTTTTTTGATCGAAAATGGACAAAAAATTCGATTGTTTTTCAAAAAAAAATTGATTTTTTCAATATTTATGGAGCAATTTATCCTCATTTCTTATCGAGACAGAAAATTCCATGTCCAAATTTAAAAAAAAATCGAAATTTTTGTCCATTTTCGATCAAAAAATCTCATTTATATGCCTTGGAAAATAAAATTTTAAATTTGCGTCCAATTCCATCAAAATCTGATATAATTCCTATCATAAATCATCATTTTTTCAACAATTTCTCACCTTGAACACATTGACAACTTCCCCATTCACCTCAACCTCTTCCCCCTCCACTTTTCCTTTGCTGATTTGGATTTGAATACAGACGCCGTGACTAATAAAACATAGCAAAAACCATAACAATGGATGTGACATGACCGCAAACTCGACAAAATTGTTTTTGAAGCGGGCTTCACAGGCTCCAATCCATCGCAAATCCAGCCAAAAAACGGTGATTTCTCGAAGGTTTTTTACCTCTTTTTTATTTTTCCGGCTCAAAAAGGGCCCTCAAAAAGTGGGGGGATCCAACTGTTTCTGCATTCGCGCAACAATACGAGTAATATGACCCAAAATATAAAACATAGGGAGCAAAAATTGAAAATCAGCGCGGAATTTTTTGACATTGACCCCAAAAATCATCAAATATTGGGCTAGTACAACATCCAAAAAGTAGAAAATCCTTGTTGATAACAATGAACAAATAACAATGACATATAAAACATGCTTTTTAGAACTTTCTTCTTCTCCTTCCAGTGTATTTTGACGAGTTTTTCACTTCTCGTCCTCGATTTCGTTGCCTCTGTTTCTTCCATTCGACCCACTCTCTAGTCCCGGGAATCAATTTTTTATCCACTTTTCGTCCAGTATTAAACGTCCTAAACATCAGAAATAAAAATATTGAAAATTAGCCTACCTTCTTCCAGTATTATCAACATGAGACGGGGCTGCATCTTCATCGCCAGTCAAGGCTTTCGGTAGACGTTGAATACCACTTGTCATCGCTACAAGATACACTTTCTTGGCTTTAGTGCTCTCGGGAAAGTCAACAACTAGGCCCCCGCTGAAACCGGCTTTATTGGCTTGTTGGCAGATCAACTCGGCTTGTTCTGGGTTCTCTGGATAAAACTGGAAGACAGCACGGGCTCCGCTGGACTGAAAGAGTCATGATAGACGTTTTCAGACAAATGAAAAAAACTGGAAATTCAAAAATCAAAGGATTTTATATTATCCATGGGATAAAAAAAGGAAATCGAGAAAAATCAAGGACTATAATTTCAAAATGCCCCGAGTATAATAAAAACTAAACAATCGCATCATAAGAAAGCTATTGATTCTAAACTTCACCCATGTTTATTAAAAATACAATAACTTTTGGCAAGGATACCATCGAGATCCCAAACTCGTTATATTTTTTGTCCAACACAAAATTCCCCAAATACAGCACAAATAATAGAATGACTAACCATCCTATGTGCTAATGAGGTTCAAAATCCTTCAATTTACCCTCATTTTTTCCATGGATAATACAACTGATACCTAAACATCAAGAAAAAATGTAAATTACTTACTAAGCTTGCAAAAAGTGTTTGGAAAAACGTCAACAATCTCTTCGCCGGGTTCTCATCTGATCTATTCGCATGACACAACCATTGAATAGCTGAAATTGAGATGGCCCCATCGAAAACCCCCGGTCTGAACGGAAGGCCATTTCCAATGTCGCCCAAGATCAGATCCTCCTCCACCTCCATGTACTCCTTAGCCTGCTCCAGCATGGGTGCGCTGATGTCAATTCCCATCCAAGAGAGGCCTTCGTCAGTGAGGTATTGACCGGATATTCCGGAGCCACATCCAATGTCGAGGATAAAAGCGGTTTCCGGGTCGGCCAACGCCATTAATTCGACCGCTCGTGCGGCCATTTCGGTTTGAATCTCCATCATACGACTGTTGCCGGCATACTTCTTGGCTTCCGTCTCATTGTAGAACAATTCCGGCGGTCCGGAGAACTCGGGACGCGACATTTTTCGCCTGAAAACACCAACCTACATCAAGGATAATATAAACGTCAAAAACGTTCAATTTTTTAAAATTTTAAAAGAAAATCAAATAAAACCCCATCAATTCCACACTGATATTACACTTGATCAAGAATCTTCTCCTATTTTTCCAAAAAAAAACCAAAATAATTTTTCCGCAGCATGCGCCCTTGCCTCGGCGAAATGAGCGACATTTTATACGGAGATAGCATTTCTTTCTCTCGAAACGAAAATAAATGCGCAAAATCAGCCGTTCAAATCCCGTGGCTCCGAAGCTTTTTCATTTTGGTGACTTCTTGACCAAATTCGGCTGGGTTTGTCAACTTTTTGAGCTATTTGTGGGGTTTTTTGAGTGATAATTTTTTTTTGAAATATTGTACATGCTTTATAGCCAAAAATTTCTTGTTTCTCGTCCTTGTTCGGGTTGTACTAGTGTTTTTAGATTTTATTAGATCCTTTTTTCGATTTGGTTTTGCTATTTCGCGTGCTTTTCTCGATTTTTGTCCAGTACAATATAAAATTTTTTCTAAATGTTGTGTTTTAGCCAAGCTCCATTGTCGCAGCTCCGTCGACATTGCGCACATACTGATAATCAAGCCGAGAGACCCATTTACAGTGTCAGCACTGCCACCAACTGATCTTACGAATATTGGGTAAGAATTTTGATTATTTCTTGTGGATTTAGGTTAGTTTGTGGAAGTTTGGATGACAAGATATTTTCTACAAGGTATTATGGATCTTTTAAGCCGGATTTCTTTAAATGGGAAGCAATTCCGCACTGTTCTTTGACATTTTTTCCATAAGACCCATAGTACAATATTATTTTGACTAAAATTTGATGTTTTCATCACAGATAATTGAAATTTGTCTGTTTTCAGGTCTGCACTGTAATGTCCGTTAGTTTGTCGCGCTCCATCTTCAACGATATCTCCAACGTTGAGGAGCGTCGGCCCCGTTCAGGCAAACGCCCAGAAGGCCGGATTTCTCTGCGACAGGTCAGCGAGAAGACGTTCAAGAAGCGCGAGATCACTCCATCCAGGAACTTGGACGTGAAGACTGGTCAAGTTATTGGCGACGGGGATCGTTACGTCGGAGCCATGAACAACGAACAATTGGGGATTGCTCAACACTTGATGAGAGGTGGAGATGATTTTGAGGTGAGGGATTTTTGACTTTTTTCTTGAACTTTTAGGGGGAAAATTAGGGACAGAGGTTGGTGGTCAGGATCAGTAATTAGTATGGAAATAAGTTGCGGTATAATTCGGTGTCAACTATTTTTTTATATTGTACTAGACGTCAACGATAAGAGAACCAAAAAACTGTCGATTTTGTGATGAATTTTGATGTTAGAATAATCAGAGGATGTTTTGAAACGTCTTGGTCCAATTCATTTCAGTCCGAATGCCATAAAGTTGCTTTGAGTATCTACAGAAAACTAAAGTAATATCCGAAACGCATAGTTTTGGATTTTTGGCTTTTTAGAAATTATAGTTCTCTCTTTATTTGTCAATTGTTTGGCCTTTTTTATCGGCTTCGGAACGCCTAAATTGACTTTTAGACATCAATTCCCATCATGGATAATATCCATTTGTCGAAGTCTGACCCTCAGTTGCAAATTTTGAGTGATTCTTTGCTTGTTCAAACCTTATTCGGCCGTAAAACTAGACTGTCTTGTTTGTGCATCTGCTCTTATAGTCTTTGCTCGCATTTATTTTTTCTCTTAGCGTACTTTCACGTCCTTCATATAGTCTAACGAGAAGACGGAATGAAAAAAATGCGGCACAGATGTTTTTGGCATCTATATTTTATTTTAAGCGGACTCTAATTTTTACACATCGTCATGAATAATGTTATGCACGAAATGGAGAAATTTCGAAGTGAAAACCGATAAACATTGGGTATGCAGACTGTAAATTGAGTAGAATCGAGCTGGAACCAGACGCAATAAGCCAAAATATGATGGATATTTTGGGGAAATGAAGGGAATTTTGGGAGTGTTGTAGACTTTTGGGATTAAAATGAAGGATTTGGCCAAAGACTTGGTAGTTTTAGTCATAAATAATGTCAGAAATCTCTCTATAGATGAGAGGGAAAACAGGCCGGCAATCAGGCGGGAGAGCGGATGATTTTACACCTCATCTAGTCAGAAAATTACACTACAGTGACGGACCTGATCCAGTGGCAAAGAACGTACCATTTTGCATCCGGGAAGTATAAAAAATGTGGCAAAATGCTTCCCTCTCCAAGTGAAAAAACTCCCGATTTCAAAAGCGCGCCCGCTCTTTTTGTGAGATGCCCTTCAAAACGAAGTTTTTTTTCCACTTGGAGAGGGAAGCGTTTTGCCACATTTTTGGAGCTTCCCGGATGCAAAATGGTATGTTTTTTGCCACTGGATTGTGTCGGTCACTGCAATGTGATTTTCTGACTGGATGAGGTGTAAAATCATCCGCTCTCCCGCCTTATTGCCGGCCTGTTTTCCCTCTCATCTAATCCGCCGCTTTGATCACCTGCTGTTCCGAGGCCAAGAAAACAGGAAAAGAACGCGAGCAGCGCTTAAGTGCCGAGGAGCGCTTGCGATTTTTTTATGCCGCTCGCTAATTTTATGCCATGCTGAGGGCGTCCTTCTGCTCGCAGTGGCGTTGTTTGAGATGGATTTGCGATCAGTCGGGGGTCAAATTTCAGGCCGAAATGATGAATAAAGGGATATTGAATGGGAAAAGCAAAAATCAGAGTGTAAAATGCTGCAAATAAGCAATAATAAAGAGAAAAATATTAGCTTTGGAACGTAATTTGGTATAAAGAGATTAGAAGTGTGACAAGATTCGTAAAATACGACATGTTAGGTTTAACTGTTTTAACGAGGAAAGTACTTTTATGGGGTATGGAGTTACAGGTCGAGTCATATATCAAAAAAATCGTAAAATTTTTCTGATTCTGAATGTGTATAAGTTAGCTGCCTTATTTTGGCTTGTCAGGGTGAAAAAAACCTCAGAACTTTTCTCGCAACACCACACAAATGCCCCTTTTTTATATTGGAACTACTAATTAAGGTGTAGTGTTAATCAAATTTGAAATTTTAAGGCTTGGCAAGATGCCAGGGTTCATTGACTTTAGCTCAAAACAAAGATTTTGATTTGGTAAAAACTTTGTCAAAAAGGCATGTGCGTGGTGTTGCGTGAAAACTTCAGAGGATTTTTTCACCCTTACAAACCAAAATAAGGCAGCTAACTTTTACATATTCTGAATTATAAAAATTTTGCAATTTTTTTGATATGACTGGACCTGTAACTCCATACCCCATAGAAGTACTTTCCTTGTAAGGTGAAAAAAAGTTGCTGATGATGAGTTAAAATACGTTTTAGTGTCAATTTATAACTTTTTAAAAGTCGTGAAGGTCAAAGTTTGCCTCAAATGCATCACAGTTTAGCTCTGGTTTTGTAGTTTTAGATTTTTTTAAAGTCATAAACAGAATTTTTCCATGAATAGTGCTCCGATTTTTGTTCATTTAGAGTTTCACACATCTGAATGGCCTTTTATGGCATTGTATTTATCCTATTATCCTGATTCTCGGAAGACTCGTGCAAATTCCTAATCTCAAGCCCGGGGATTTACAGTAACGCGGCCCCACCGCTGTCCACCGGTTCCTCTCTGCACTCGCTTTTCGCCCGAAAACAACGCTAGCTTTTTTTTGAAATCGAAGCGAGCGCGTCCTTTTTTCTCCGCTTCGTTGCCGATGAGGAAAGAAAATTTACGAGCAGGGCCTAACAGCGCCATTAAAACCGAGATAAAATAATGGAAACGGCGGAATAAGCGCCTCAGAGAAGAGTGCACCATGAAATATGGGCGAAGGATTAATATACGACATGTAAATCGCAAACTACAGTAGGATAATAAGGATTTACCGGCAAAAAAGAAGTGATTTCTGGCTTGTTCGAGGAGAAAATGTGATTGTTTGTGGCTGCCTCACTCCCATGTTCGGTACTTTGTAGGCTTTGCGATGATAAGTCATCGCTTGCACTCGAATACTCGAGGTTTTCGGCTCGATTCAAAGATGAAAATGTTCGAAAATGCTTGGAACTGCTTGAAAATACTGTATATTCGGTAGTCTTGAAGGGAAGGAAAATCTTATTTACACATTTGGCAGCAGTTTTCGGAACGTTTTTTCTAATCCGTGACGTTCGGGATACGTTTTCCTTGCCCTCCATGTCGGCCATTGCTCGCAAAATGTCCATCGGATTTGGCCAAATGTCGAGCGGAGCGACACACGTTCGAATCCAACCCCACACGTTCGGACTAGCACGCTCGGCGGACGGTGTTGGGCCCTCATCGGATGATTTTTGTGAAATACTTGTTATTGTCATAGCACTGGGACGCCCGGTAGTCTTCAGCTCCCCTCCTCCCCACCACTGGCCTTGCCCCCACCATGTGTATGTTGGCTGCTGTTGTTTTTGAATGGAGAAGAAAGAAGAAGAAGGGAGGCAAGGAAGCAGCGGCCCGTGGAATAGTGCTAGCACACCCCCAAAATTCTGAATGCACGGCCCCTCTCTAAGCCCCCTGCTCGCCTCTTCCATCCACGCCGTCTCGGCGCCCCCTGCTCGCCACCACCCCACTCCCCTTGCTTGCCCCGTGCAAGCCACCCGAACCAGCGGAGAGCGACGGGTGAAGGCCCTTTCTGGGCGCCCAGTGCTCGCGTTTCTTTCCACTACCCTTCCTCTTCCCCCACGACGCTCCAGCACTCTCTTTTTCTGCCTGCCCTAGCATGTTTCGTTAGCGAAAAGAAGCGGAAAGCCGGCGTGGTGGCGGCGCCCATGTCTTCACACAAACAACGCAAAAATCGACGAGCCCTACGCCCAGTGCCTCTCTCACAGGGCTTCTCTCCTCTCTTCGATAGCGCAATGAAGGCAGGCGCGGAAAGCGAACGAAGAGAGCGCCCGCTAACGAAGAGTGTCGGCCGTCTGGAGGATTGGAGGGACGAACGCCCACTATTTCCCCACCCTCTGCCTCCGCACGAAGACAGAGGGAAGAGGAAATAGTGCTCGTTGTTGCGAGCAGGCCAGGCTCCGAGCCCGGGGTGTTAGTTCAGTGCTCTCTTCTTCAGCCTTCCCTCGCTTCCTTCGCCCCACTGAAACGACCGTTGCCAGTGGAAAACGCAGTGGAGAATGGGAAAGAAGAGGAGCCCCCCGTTGTTCTCTGTTGAGCTCCCCCCAACAGCCCCCCATTTCCAGTGGTTCGCCTTCAGCCAGCAGTCCTCTTCCCTTCACTCCATTGCCACCACAGAGCGCAGTGCAAAGACGCTTGCCTGTGTTTTTCACTGCTGGGCGCTGTGTTGTGTAGTGGAAATTTCTCGACGTACCCAGCGCCGTTGTTCTCAACTGGACCAATCGATTTTTTGGAGTTATGGGGTAGTTGAAGACCTCTAGAATCGATTTGTAGTTGGATGGTTTGGCTGGTTTAGCCTTGGCGCGGAGATATGGCTTCTTGAAGTTACACTGGAAATCGCCTTGAAGGCATACTGTAGGTTGGTCTCGTTGCATGTTGTAGCTAAAGCATGACCAAAATACTATGTAGTAATGAGTCAGAGAGGTCTGTAGACTATTTTGGAGCACTGTTCCATATTCTGGACCTCTTTGAGAACGCGTGCCAAAAGTTGCGAGCACTGCGAAATTTTTGCGAGTAGGAACGGCCAAGCCCCCCAGGGATGGGAATGGCCCCGGATTTGGTTTGGCCTTTGTCTCCAATAAGTTTTTGAAGTTTCGAAAGTTTCTAAAGTGGAGATTATAAAGATTCGAATTCAAAAATTGACCCGCCGCGAAAATAATTGTCATTCGGCGCGTCTCAACTATCGATTTTTCGGGGCGAAAAGACGGAGGGGCATCACTTGGAATAGTAATGGGGTGGGAAATGTAAAATACGGCGAATTTAGGGTAGTTGGGTTACTGTAGATTTTGCAATGATGTAGTTTTTTGAATATTTTTAAATATTTTTTGGGGGAAAAATCTTTTTTGAATATTTTTTGGTAAAATGAAAACCTTTCCATTTTCCTATTTTCTAAATCTACAACGAGCTAATCTAACATAATTTCAGGACCCATTGAACACCTCCAGCTCGGCACCATGCTCTCCAGAGTCGAAGGATCGCCGGGACATGAAGATGCGGCTGATGAGAGCGCGCTCCGCCGGCGACATCTCCAGTGCCCCGAACGACCTCCGAATAGTCTCGTACAAGCGTGGACTGTGCCCGAAACCTCCGCCGGGCCACCGAAGCAAGCCAGCCGTCATGTACACGTGTGTACAGCCGTCCTCGACCGCCAAAAGACATCAAAGATATCTGCCGAAGTCGCCGGTCCGAATCCTCGACGCTCCCACGATAAACGATGACTTTTATTTGAACATCATGGACTGGGGCCAAACAAATGTGGTGGCGGTCGCCCTGGACAATGTGGTGTATTTGTGGCACGCGGAGAGCGGAGATGTCGACACTTTGGATGAGTTTGATGGAGTTTCGGTGTCGTCGGTGAAATGGTCGGAAGAAGGACGGTATCTGAGCGTTGGCCTAACGAACGGCCAATTGAAGCTGTATGACGTCACGACAAAGCGAAATCTCAGAACCATCACCTCTCAACTCCAAAGGATCGGATGTATCTCGTGGAAGAAGAGCGTCGTCACCTACGGATGCAGATCAGGCCGAATCTACAACCATGACACCCGAAGAGCCCAAAGTTTGATCGGAGACTTTGACTTGCACACTGGAGAAGTATGTGGAGTGAAATGGTCGCCGGATGAGAAGCACTTGGTCAGCGGTGGAGCGGATCAAACCGTCAATGTGTGGGACGAACGCCAAATCGGCGCTGATGACCCTCAGCCGACCCATACCTTTGTGGAACACACCGCAACGGTCAAAGCCATCGAATTCGTGCCGTTCCTCGGAATGAACAATAATATGGTCGCGACTGGCGGAGGTTTGAATGATGGAACCGTCAAGATTTGGAACTTATCAACTGGGCAATTGCACAGCTCTTACAATACGGATAATCAGGTAAGAATTGGGGATCTGATATCGGAATAGAGTTCGGTAATGGAACCAGGGCATTTGGTTCTAAATTTACACTGTAAGGTATATGACTGTTCCCTTTCAGATATCCGGAATCCTCTTCAACAAGAACTACAAGGAGATGTGCACCTCGCACGGCAATCCCAGGTCCTTCCTTCGCTTCCATCACTACAAAAATCAGAAGTTCGAAGCCGTCGGCGATATCGACAGCCACACTGGTCGCATCCTCTCCCTCACCCAGTCACCATGTGGTCAATTTGTCCTCTCAGCCGCCTCGGACGAAACTCTCCGCCTCTGGAACTGCTGGAAACAAGACAAATCGGTCTCGGCACTAACCTCAACCATGCGCCAAATGAAACTCCAAAACTCGTCGACGAATGCACCATCAATCCGATAAGAAGAATGGAAGATTACTAACTATATTGACTATTTATTCTCTCATTTTTTGAGTCCAACTCAAATTTCTCACTGATGTTTCGAAGAAAGGTCTATTTTGACGTGGTCTTACCTCAATAAAGATGACTTTAGTTATGTCTACTTGAGTTTTTGTCCATAATCTTGCCGTTCTCATCGGTTATGCATACCTACATGTCCTCAGCGCAAGTCATGATTTTTTTTTGGGATTGGGATTTTTGGGGACGAATGTTTGTTACGATATTTACCGCGTTATATTTTCGAGGATCTGCGTTATTTTAAATGCGTTCGTCACCGGACTGTTTCCCGTATGTCGCAATTTTCACTACCCGACTTTTTCGATTATATCGCGATGCCTTGCAAAGAAATCTTTTGCAACTCTAAGAACCTGTTTTTTTCAGTTGTAATCCCGACTTATCACTGTAAACATGGCCAAAGGAGGAGTTACCAAGAAGGGAAAGGATCCCAATGCCCCAAAACGTGCCATGTCCGCGTTTTTCCTCTGGATGCAGGAAAACCGTCAGCGTCTGAAGAAGCCCGGCATGAGCGTAGCCGATGTTGCCAAAGCCGCCGGAGTTGAATGGGGAAAATTGGGCGACAAGAAGGAGTGGGAAAAGAAGGCCGAAGATGACAAAAAACGATATGAGAGAGAATTGGCCGCGTACAAAAAAGGGCAAGCTTAATGACATGGTTTTATCGACACCATCCTGTACATGAACTCCACTGTTGTAAATTTCAATTTTTTCCATCTTACTCCATCTACTCTCCTCTACCTCCAGATTTCTTTTAAAGAAAAACGTGGGCGGAAAAATTGCCCTAAATTTGGATATTCTGAAACTGGCCCTATTGATGCCAAAAGAGTCGGTTTTATATTGTAAATCTTTATGTATCGGAAATTTAATTTCCCTTTGTCACTACTAATACGCCTTGATTTCCCAGCTCTCCAATGAATAAAATGAAAGAACAGTTTTTCCACAGGCTTTGACACAGACACGGTTAATAGACCGGGCATTTATTGCTTTTCATTCTAATTTTTATAGTTGTGTTTCTTATATTTCAGGTTTTTGCTTTTGCGAGTTTTTACCAGTTTTTATTGGTACTGCGGATAAACGCTTCCTTCTGTGCAAAGCGTTTGTCTTCACCATCTCGCTTCGATTTTCTGTAGCTGCAGAAATTTGAAATTTTCGATTGTTTCGTTTGTACGTAGTTCCCGATTTTTTAAACTGGCTGAGCGAGGGTTTTATTGCTCGTGTACGTGTCTTTTGATGCATTTACTTACATACGATTCGCTTCTTGTCCCGTATATTTTTAGTTGAGAGCTGATCGCTGCGCTTTCCGCCAGCGAAAAGCGCGAAACCCCGCCAAATCGCGAGCTTTCTTTTTGCTGAAAATTTGGCGCCAAAACACTGGAACGCAAGCGATCAGGAGGCGGTGCTAGCGCTTTCCCACTTTCTTCGGCATTAAGGCAAGACATTCACTGCAGATCGAGCGAGCGGAGAGGTTTGCTCTTGGTGTTATGGTCTATATAAATGAGGCTGCCTTGAGTTTTAGAGATAGATTTATTTTGTAAGGTATTGATAAGTATCCTTGGTTTTTATTACTCATTGTATCAAATTTCGGCGACTGGGGTATTGTAGCTGAATTTACTTTAGAAGAGTAACAGATAATTTGGAACTTTTACTGTCGTTTTATAATTGAAACTGCATTTTGAGTTTGGATTGTTATCCTGAATATCGCATTGCAATCAACGTGCAGTTTCTTCGTGGTTTTTTCGCGTATGATCAATATTATAATCCCCATTTGACTTTGGTTACCTTTCCTCTACTTCAGAACTAACCCAAACTTAAAATGGCCAAGGGAGGAGTTACCAAGCGCGGAAAGGACCCTAACGCCCCCAAGCGTGCCATGTCCGCCTTCTTCTTGTGGATGCAGGAGAACCGCCAGCGCCTGAAGAAGCCGGGCATGAGTGTCAGCGACGTCGCCAAGGCCGCCGGTGTCGAATGGGGCAAACTCAGCGACAAAAGCGAATGGGAGAAGAAGGCAGAGGACGACAAGAAGCGATACGAAAAGGCGATGGCCGAGTACAAAAAAGGCCAATAAACACCCCCCTACCGACCATTGTAATGATCTCCCCCTTTGCAACAATTTTTAACATTTGATGTTCAATCTTTTCATTTTTCCTGATTATACGGCGCGAGCGTCGTCTTCACATGGTTGTAAGTTATAATCAATAAATAAATACTGTCAAACATGAGTTGTCAAGTAGTATCTTTTCTTCAGTATGAACGGAAAATTAGGCTCTCTTATTACATTATTACAAGGCTGTTTGCTTAGCTAAGATTGACACAGTCTGTAGATTGCCCAGGTTGGGGTTCCTCTAGCTTGATTTGCCCAACGTCATAGCCTTTGGTAAGGTCTGGGACTTCAGCTTCCAACACATAGCTCTTTGGAATCTTGATGGTGAACTTTTGAAAGCAAGTAGGGATTTGAGTTGTGTAATTACATCGATGGTATCTAAAGGAAAATATTATAAAAGAAGCAATATAAAACGTACACATTCAGATGAGTATTCAAAGTCATGATCTCTTTGCTGTAGCCGGCCAACAAAAAGTAGCCATTTTGACTAGAATAACCAGCATCCATCAAATCATCCAACGTGAAATGGTCGTGGTCGTACAGTTTTACTTTCTTTTACTAAACGTTCTACAATAGTAGGTGAGAACTTACCACACCTCCGATGGGATTGTTTTGGCATAACAAGCGGCCCCTAACTGAGACGCTTTGTTTTTTCCGACCAATGGATTTGATAGCTTCGGTTATATTGAATGATGAGGTTTGATGGAGATAAAGTAGGGTGACTAGCAGAAGTAAAGTTTTTTGGTTCATTTTTATAAGGGATTAAAGCTGTAATTCATCAAATTTACGATGGTTAGAGTAAATTACAACGGATAAAGTTGTAAAATCAAAAGGTCGGTATTGAGAATTCGTACAATAAGATAGGATAAAAAACCACAGTACGTTTTACTAACAAGGGAAGTACCCCAAGTGCGACGCTCAGATTTTCCTTAAATTTTGCACACACATCGGGAATAGACTGTTATATATATATCAGTTCCAGAAAGTTTTAGCTCGCGCTTTGCAGGTGCCGCCGAGACATTGAACGATTTTTGCCACCGATAGAGTACACTAAACGTGGAGAGCGGTCAGAGAGAAAAGCACTTTTTGGCCATAACTTTGCTAGTTTAGCGCGGAAAAAATAGATTTTTTGTGGAAACATTACCCTCTATGGTAGAAATAGGCATGAAACTTTTCGTGCCGAAGTTCGGCCAGAAGTGTCAAATTTTCGCCAACTTTCGAACTAAAAATCTAAGTTGTTTCGGCAAAGCGCGAGCTAGGATTTTCGCATATATTTTACAAAAAATATTCTAAATTTGTGACAAGTTTCATTAAAATCTGAGCGTCGCACTTGGGGTACTTCCTCTGTAAGAAGTATTACTCATATAACATCCACGAAAAAGTGACTTCACCGCTCAAGGTAAAGAAATCGGAAACGGGTGTCTTTGCGTTTATGAAATGAAACGCGATCACCTTTTATGTGTTTACGAGAGAGAAATAAAACAAATGTTTTGATCTCGAAATGATTAGCTTTCTAAATTAGAATTGAATCGTTCGGCCGCTTTATGAAGGATGATTCAAGTGTGTTGCTGATTGAAAATTGCAATCATATGTGACATGAAATTTTCTTCGATATGTTTATTCATCGCTTTTGACTAGAAAGAATATTAAAAATTTTTTTTGAGATCAAATATGAAGAAGGATGGCTTATAGATAATATGAAGGGATTGGTGATGTTAAAGCTCGCAGTTGGTTTTAAAAAATGCTTTTCCGAACTTCTCCACGGCCGTGCTGAACATTTCGCCAACAGAGGTACAGAGTTGATTGTTACCGCTGGCTTTCTGGAAGAAAAATTATATTGTACCAGACAGCTGAAGGAAAATGGCTCGGATTTTGAAGAACATTGATAAAACGGGTTCGTAAAGGCTTTTCAACTTACAATTAGACATTGTTTAAACTTCTGGTCGCACTGCCGTTGCGATTTGCCTCCACAATTATAGCAATTATCATGTTCAACACAACACTTGTCCACAAGATCTGAAATTGAAATGCAAATAATATAAACCGAAGTCAATAAGCCCTGTTTTACCTAAATCTCAATCAAATAAGGAGTAAAAGACTTACGGAACTCTTTTTTGCAGTGTAGTTCCATCATTGTAGCAGCTGCGACCGAAATATTGTCGACTCCCTTTGGTCCACATGCTGTTTTTCGAGAGTTCCGGATAAAATTACTAAAAAAGATGAACAAAATTGATAAAAATCGATTTTAAGACTTGCCTGACATGCTTCTGAAGATTTTGAAAGCCATTTACATTCATAATAAGAGAAAAAACAAGGACAAAATACAAGACCAGCCGCATTAGGAGGTGTAAAATAAAGTCTTCCGTTTTTCCATCAAAAACTCAAAATGAATTTTATGTTTTTATTCAAATGAGTTTTATGTGACGTTGCACAAACCCCTAATCCTCAAAGACGCGTTTTTCCGAATTATTTTTTGAGGTTGCAACAGAATGCCAAGAATTTTTGGCATTCAAAGAATTGCGGATTGAGAGAAGAATCTTTCAACTTGAAGATGTAAAAATGTAACTGCACTTTTAAATGTTGTAAATGAAACAGTATTTCAATTTTTTGACATTAAAAATTTTTCGAAACCCCATTGTTAAAGCGAAATTTGTAGCCTTTTGTAATAATCGCGATGATCGCGTATAAGCACGTTGTTTACCACTCTCTTATATCCGTGCCATAATTACCATTTGTATATTTTCTCGGTGTAGTTGAGCAATGGCTGACAGCTTAAGCTGACCGTCGACAACAAGACTTACTTCCGTGTGCATTTTCACATCACTCGGCCGGCAGTTTTTGTATGCCTCGGTAATTATAATTCCCTTGTTAAAAAGGCGGCGAAAGGCCGTCATTATGGGGGTTAAATGTCAGGTATTGATGAGTGGTGGTGTGAGGTCTTGTCTGCTTTTTTTCGTTGTTACGGTTATGGTTTTTGTTGTTGGCTGGAGATGTTGGGAAGGACCGTTAAGCGAGTAGTGCCAAAAGCGTCTGGATGATTCTTTGATTTTTTTTCCGAAAATGGCATACGTGCTCTAGTACGTCACCAATTCCTAAAACTCCTTCGAAGAGCAGAGATATACTTTTTGTCCGTCTGGAAGGCCGCCGGACAGAAATCGGCCATACGCGCATCGACAATCTGTGAGAAAAAAAAGTTCAGCTTGCACTGTGCACTTTTTTGCTCTTTGTACTGTGCGATAGGCTTTTTTGGGCTGTCGCTCGCACCCTGACTTTCTTCGAACAACGTCAAAAATCTCTCCGGCGACTTTCCGGAAGGACTAGTTTTAACCCATTCCGGCCGAGTCTTCAATTTCTTGCAGAAATAAAAAGGGTACCCTAATGATGAATATTATAATAGTAGTTCAACTCATCGCAGCGTTATTTACAGTGAGGGACCTGATCCAATGGCAAAAAACGTCCCATTTTGCTTCCCGGAAGGGACCAAAACGTCTCCAAACCCTTCCCTTCTCTAACAAGCTTAAAAACTCCTCTTTGAAAAGCGCGCCCTTTCCTTCAAAGCGTTTTTTTGCCATTGGATCCGGTCCCTCACTGTAGGACTTATGACAAAATTCAATTTTTAGACACCGATGACGAATCCTATGCTGCTCTAATTTGGGCAGTTCTTGGATGTAACAGTAGTAGGACTCCAAATCTTTCGTTTAGGGGTAGTTTCTAATTTACATCTTGTTACAAAAATTTTGGTGGTTTCATAGTTCCGAATAACAGTTCGGCCGGTTAAACCAGTTTTATATTTAATAGTACTAATTAGGGTACCCTGTTTCATTTATGCATGGAACTGCCGACTCATCCGGAAATGGATAAACGATCTTTTTTCGGCAAAGGGGTACAAAAAATGAGGATAGCCGGCCGGGCGAAAAACGTTTCCCGATTTTTGCTGAGAAACGGTAGTTTTTGTGGCCATACTGTACACTTCACTGTTAAATAATCTGGAATTTTCTTATTTCAAGCTGCCTTTGGAATTACCCGAAAACCTAAAAGTTTACATGCGACATAGAATTCAAGGAGCACATGTGACTTCTTTAGCTCCATTCTGATTTGAAACAGGCAAAAATCTGTTGAATATTCAACACACCTTGCAGTTCAGTTCTTGCAAAACTTTTGTGAGACGTTTTTTATGTTAATCCGGAGCCAAACGTTTCGAGTTGCCGTGGGCAACCTAGCGTTCTTACGTGGGGGTGCTTTCGGCGTTCGCTCACACCATTGCGAGCCAAATGTTTCATTTTTAACTTCCCATTGGTCGGCATTTCGTTTTCTATTGTGAAACAGAGGGTGATTACAACGTAAGAAGAGGAGAGTTTACAAATGGGGTCAACCATGAGCAGGGTGGAAACCCATTATGTTATCTACTTTATAAGACGTTGCGATTTTATCTCAAAACGTTTTCGGACTTCCGCTTGTGGCGTGGAGGCCGTTCCGGCACCAATGGCGATTATTTTTTCTTTTTTGGTGGGCTCGGAATAGAGTGCAATTTAAGTTCTTTTTTTGGGGTCACGCCCTAAGGGATCATAAAAAATTGTTTGTATAGATGTACGAAGTATATACTGTAGTGGCAAAATGCCTTCCTCTCTAACAAAAAACCCGTCCTTTTCTCGAAGTTTTTTCACTTGGAGAGGGATCTTTTGCTATATTTTGTGATACTTCCTGGATCCAAAATGGTACGTTTTTTGCCACTGGATCAGGTCCGCCACTGTAAGCTGATGTTTTCAACAATTTTTTTGAGAGAGCACGTGCAGTTAGTCATGGGTCTGCCAGACACTTTTTGCTCAGCCAAACAGGGTTTACAGCGTAGGCCACTTGAAACCAACAACTTTTTTATTTGGATTTCTCCGCGGAGAATCAGCTGATTTTTCTAAAATTTAGATATTTTTGTAATTAAGACCTGCCTTTTCAACATACTAAAAATGAGGAAGCAAGGTAAATAAAATTTTTTGTAAATGCGGGAGAAATTGGTCAAATGAAAGCTGGATTAATTTAGCAGCCGTATTATGTCTGTAATTTTTTTTTATTTTGTTTGAAGACTTTTTTGTCTCGGCTCAACTCCCTTGTAAGGAAGACCGTCGAATATCTCCGGCATCCCTGCAAATCGGGAAGTAAGACTTTATGTGATGATTCATAGTGTAATATATGGTCTTATCAGACCCTGTACGCATAAATTGAAGAAATTCAAATATATACTGGTTGACAAAATTTTCTTTCCACCTCGTATCTGGGGAACCGATGGGCCTAGAACCTCCAAATTCGGCATAGAAACATCCTAGGACAGTCTAACACCATGCCCAAAAAATCATATCATTTGATGCACTTTACATGCCCTTTTTCCAAAAAAGGCAAAAACCCGGATGACAAAATTTTCTTTCCACCTTGGAAAAAACGTTTGTAACTCATAAGCCAGAGGGTTTTAAGGCATGATTGTGGTATCGTTGTGTTCGCGAAGAAGTCCTCTCTCGATTGGTGTCACAACCTTACGGGGGCACGCCACGAAAAACGTAAGGCAAAATTGGAAATAGAGATTTCGAGCTGCGCCCAATATTTCTTGATTTTTTTGATGGAATGAATATTGTGTTAATAGTATTGTAACTCTGGAATTTGGAACAATTTCGGGATGTATATTATCTTTAAAATTACGTTGCTTTGAGTTTCAAGTGTTGAGTATAATGGATGAGTCCATGGAGCCCGGCACATCGCGCTCTGACCCCAACATTGATTCACCAGGTATGGAAGTGTTTTCAGAAAATGTAAGATTTCTCTTTTTGTGCCCAGTTTATAGATTAATCGCCATGTGGTGTTGTGTGAGACATCCTAGCGGACGTTGGAAAGAAGAAATCGGGAAATTCTATAGTCGAAAAAGGGCACTTGTCGGTTCATTATTGCATCATTTTGCATGGACCGATGGAGAAACGCAAGAAAAGCTGAACCAGAAGAAGAGAATCAACATAAAGCTAGCTGAGGACTTCAGGAAGGTTCAGTTGAATGTAATGGATGAGTCCATGGAGCCCAGCACATCGCGCTCCGACCCCGACATTGATTTACCAGCTATGTAAGTGTCTTCAGAAAATGTAAGATTTCTCTTTTTGTGCCCAGTTTATAGATTAATCGCCATGTGGTGTTGTGTGAGACATCCTAGCGGACGTTGGAAAGAAGAAATCGGGGAATTTTATAGTCGAAAAAGGGCACTTGTCGGTTCATTACTACATCATTCTGCAGGAGCTGATGGTGTCCCCAGAAAAGGTAGAATTTCTCTTTACTCATCCGGTTTAGGTACAAAGGAGCTGATCTGTTTTGTGTGAGACATCCTAGCGGACGTTATAAAGAAGAAATCGGGAAATTTTATAGTCGAAAAAGGGCACTTGTCGGTTCATTACTACATCGTTCTGCAGGAGCTGATGGTGTCTCCAGAAAAGGTAGGATTTCTCTTTTTGCATCCAGATTAGGGATTAATCGCTATGTGGTGTTGTGTGAGACATCTTAGGGGACGTTGGAAAGAAGAAATCGGGAAATTTTATAGTCGAAAAAGGGCACTTGTCGGTTCATTATTGTATCATTTTGCAGGAGCTGACGGAGAAACGCAAGAAAGGACTGGAGAAGGCGTGAGCAAAGCTGGATCAGAGGAAGCAGACGACGTTTAGAACATTTCAAGTTAAGTTTGTGACGTTGCCTTTTTGATTTTTTGTTTTTAGGCCATTGAGCCAATAATTTTCTCTGGTTATACCTAAAATAATATAATTGATATTTCAGCCGGTCCATGTTGAAGTAGAATGTGAAAGCCAGCATAATGTACCAATGGGTGTGGAGATTGAATTCCGAGTTCAGATTGTATCCGACAAATTCGATGGATTGTCGAAAATTTATGTAATTTTAATTATTCTTATTGGTTTGATGTTTAGGTGGAAATAAAGAAGATTTGATGAATTTCAATTTAGTAGTGGTCTGTTGTAGCAGGATCAAAGCCCTGCTACTCTTGTAAACCTCGGAAGAGCTCGAATTCGGTCAGATTCATCGATTTTGATCCAATTTTGCCTAGTACAATATAATTCCTTTCTCTTCTTCGATCAATCTAAGAAGTTCGGGGTGCACCTCCTAGATGCCTTTCGATGCTTTCTCGCCGGTTTCACACGTAAATTGTTGTTTATTAGAATTTTGGAATCATTTTTGTTATTTATTTGTAAAGGTTTCAGCGTATGAAATGTCGAAAACATTTTCCCGCGAATTTCTCTATTTCCACTTTTTTCGTGGCGTGCGGGGGTTTTAGTTTCTTCGCCCTTGGGCGTCGGCTCATCGTTGCCTTGTCCATTTTCAGCCAAATTCGTGGCCAGAGGAGCTCGCATAAGGCACAAGGAGATGAAAATGCCTTTAAAAAATCTGGCATTCATGTTTGCAACATTGTTTCCTCCGGCAGTAGAATTCGATTTAATTTAAGTGCGTTGCAGGGGAAAACACGCGCTTCCAGGGTTCTCGTTACCAGAAAATTACGCGGAGTTGGACGATTGGGGAAAAAGACGATTGGGGAAAGGGACGATTGGGGGAAAAAGACGATTGGGGAAAGTACGATTGGGGAAACCGAAAAGTATTATTTTTCTTCCATGCAAATGTCGAAGTTAGGATAATCGAGGGGGCTCATTTCGAAAATGACATTCATTTTTTTGATTCTTACTTTTTTCCTTAAGTAGTACTGTAAAGTAGTAATTTTTGATTTTTTTTCATAAATACTCGATATAGGGGTTTTCGAGGGTGCTGATTTCGAAAATGATGTTCATTTTTTCTGAAACTTACTAGTTTTCCTTAAGCAGTAGTGTTAAAAAGTAATTTTTTGAAATTTTTCAAAAAATACTCGATTTAGGGGTTTTCGAGGGTGCTGATTTCGAAAATCATGTTCATTTTTCCTCTAGTACTATATAGTACTATTCTGATACTATATAGTACGAGGTCAAAATATGGCTTTTGACGTTAATGGTGTTGTTTTGATGCTTAGTACTCTTCAAAAACACGTTTTAAAGACTTGGTGCTATATAGTACTATCTGATACTATGTAGTACGAGGTGTAAAGTTGGCCTTTAGGCGTTCGTGGTGTTGTTCTGGTGCTTAGTACGCCTATTTTTACTTCGTACTACATAGTATCAGACAGTACTATATAGCACCAAGTCTTTAAAACGTGTTTTTGAAGAGTACTAAGCATCAAAACAACACCATTAACGTCAAAAGCCATATTTTGACCTCGTACTATATAGTATCAGAATAGTACTATATAGTACTAGAGGAAAAATGAACATGATTTTCGAAACCAGCACCTTCGAAATCCCCTAAATCCAGTATTTTTCGAAAATTTTTAAAAAATTAGTACTTAACAGTACTACTTAAGGATAACTAGTAATGTTCAGAAAAAATAAACCCGATATTCGAAATGAGCACCCTCGATTATCCTAACTTCGACATTTGCATGGAAGAAAAATAATACTTTTCGGTTTCCCCAATCGTACTTTTCCCCAATCGTCTTTTTCCCCAATCGTCCCTTTCCCCAATCGTCTTTTTCCCCAATCGTCCCAGTTCCAAAATTACGCTATTATGGAAACACTGCAGATAATTCAAGTAACTTTTCCTCCTTATATATTTTCTATGATACTACAGAGTTAAAAAATAGCGACGATTTTAATCACTGATGTCGCGCTTAGATGTGAGCAGAAGAAAGGTTCCAAACGCCCCATGTACAAAATTTGCAACTCTAAGCTTCCTGCGCAAGCTATTCGTCGTGGAAAAAACGTTGAAGGCCTGTCAAGGTCAATGTATTAAAGTAGTCTGGTAGCAAAAAGTCCTAATATACCAAGCTTAAGTAATGCCAAGGCCTAGTGCAACAACCTGCGTTACTTGAGACGACATAGACCAGAGAGGGGTAAGATAAGCTGGTAGATTTCAACACATGCTGTCGTATAAGCCCTAAAGTACGCCGTATGTAGCGAAAATGGATGTAATTTGGACGTTTCCATTCTGTACAGAAGTGATTCTTCGGTTTTGCGGATCCAGGCAGCGCTCATTTTCCCCTGCAACGCACTTAAATTAAATCGAATTCTACTGCCGGAGGAAACAATGTTGTAAAAATGAATGCCAGGGTTTTTTAAGGGATTTTCATCTCCTTATGCCTTATGCGAGCTCCTCTGGCCACGAATTTGGCTGAAAATGGACAAGGCAACGATGAGCCGACGCCCAAAGGCGAAGAAACTAAAACCCCCGTAAGGTTGTGACACCAATCGAGAGAGGACTTCTTCGCGAACACAATGATACCACAATCATGCCTTAAAACCCTCTGGCTTATGAGTTACAAACGTTTTTTCCAAGGTGGAAAGAAAATTTTGTCATCCGGGTTTTTGCCTTTTTTGGAAAAAGGGCATGTAAAGTGCATCAAATGATATGATTTTTTGGGCATGGTGTTAGACTGTCCTAGGATGTTTCTATGCCGAATTTGGAGGTTCTAGGCCCATCGGTTCCCGAGATACGAGGTGGAAAGAAAATTTTGTCAACCAGTATACCTTTTCTTTACCAATCCTGTCGAAAGTGGGATCAGAGAAGTGTTTTCTTCACAACTACAGTAGATGACCGGATCCAGTGGCCAAAAATGTACCATTTCGCATCCGGGAAGTGTCGAAAATGCAGCAAAATACCACATTCTCCAAGTGAGAATTTTTTTTTTCCTTCACAAAAAGAGCGGGCGCGCTTTTGAAATTGGAGTTTTCCACTGGAAAATGGAGGTATTTTGCCACATTTTTGATACTTCCGGGATGCAAAATGGTATCTTTTTTTGCCTCTGGATCAGATCCGCCACTGGAAAATAGGCAATTTTTCGGCCGGATTTAAGCTTTATAAACCATAGATCCAATTTATAACATCTGAAAATCGTTTATACATTATTTTGTACTCCTATGATTAAGTTCCACAACCAACGTGATCATAGTTGGCGTGCTGTTGGCGACAAGATTGTAATTGCTTTCCATCGTCAGCACTTTGTCTGGATTCGCATTTTGTTTTTGTTGAACTATGATTAGAGGCAAATCCTGTTTACAGTTCATGGTATTTACAAGCATTTGCGGAAATGTCTGTGGATTTTTTTATTTTTGGACTTGCTGACTAGCCGCTTGAAATATTGGTGGGCTTGAAGGTTCATTTTTTTGATTTTAAAATACGATCGACTTCTTTAATATTTCGGTGGGTATGTTCCAAGAAAAATGTGCGAATTGCGACGCTCAGATTTTCTTTCAATTTTCGCACACACTTCTGACCAATGACGCATATCAATTCCTGAAAAATTTAGCTAGCGTTTTCCAGTGGCAGTCGAGATATTCAACGATCTTTTCGGTCGAGAGAGTACGCGAAATGTGCAGGGGGCCAGAAAAAAGCACTTTTCGGCCAGATATTTATCTGCCAGGGTCCTTTGAAAAAAAATTATTTTTGTGTAACCGTTATCCTACGGTAGAAAGAGATGGGAAAGTTTTTAAGCCAAAGTCCGCAAAAAAGTTTCCAAAATTTCCTAACTTCTGACCTAAAAATCCCCATACAGTGGGGGACTGATCCAGTGGCAAAAAACGTACCATTTTGCATCCAGGAAGTATCAAAAGATGGGGAAAAATACCTCCATCGCAAAGTGAAAAAAACTCAGATTTCAAAAGCGCCCTTCAAAACAAAGTTTTTTTCACTTGGAGAGGAAGCTATTTTGCTACATTTTGTGATACTTTCTGGATGCAAAATGATACGTTTTTTGCCACTGGATCAGGTCTCCCACTGTATTTTCTGCAAACCAATGAGCTAGGAGTCTCGCATATGTCTTCTAAGAAGTTATTCGAAATTTTTACCAAGTTATAACAATATCTGAGCATCGCGTTTCAATCACGTCCGCTTAGACATGGCTCGTCGGCCGGCCCGGGCCGAAAATCTCGGCCTGGCCCGTCGGCCTGCAGGGTTCCGGCCCGGCCCGGCCCGTTCTAAATTTGCTTCGGCCCGGCCCGGGCCGGCCCATTGAAAAGAAAGTCTCCCCACGTCTAACTCCTTATGACCAAGTTTTTTTCTATCATCATGTAAATGGATAAATACTGTGTTCCATAGCAAAAAAATGCCTCTAAAAAAACCAATTGTGTCTTCACATTGCGTTTATTTTCATTATCAAACCCAATTTTCGCTTCGAGATTCTGGATTTTAACTATTCCGGGCCGGGCCGGGCCGGGCCGGGCCGGGCCGAAACACCGGCACGGGAGCCATGTCTACGTCCGCTACAAACTAAATTCCGGACTCGTCTTTAACCTCCATCCGGAACTTGTTTTATTATGTATACGTATAACGCCCATTCACAAATGTTATTAGATTAGTCGTGTGCATTGCACGCCAAACCCGAATGTTTCGCGGAATTCGAATAAATTTATTATTTGGCGGCCCGGGTCAAAAGTCATCACGGCATTACTCCATTCCCAATTTGGTGTGTAGTTCGTTTTTACAGCGTCTGCGGACGAGGACTAATCCGTTGTCGTATTTTTCTTCGAGAGCCGAGACTGAGACAGACGTGTTATGGTATTTACAGATATTAGTGTTTTTTCGGCCCACTATGAAGATATTTTTATTTCTTTACGTAGCACCTTTGTTACACCGCTTA